TTGAAGAAACTTTTTCTATAAAACTATGCTTCTCTGATGGTAATGATAATGATGGTGCTGGATTAAGCGTTGTTGTATCATTACCTACTGTAAAATCACCATTGTTATTAATATCTAATAATAAACGTTGAAAACCAATTAGCTTTTGTGATGGGATTGGAAGGCTAGAGAATGTTGTAGAGGGTATCTGATTCGGCTGACTGGTAGAAACTTTCGATCCGATTAGATCAGGTACCATTGGGCGTTGACTAGGGATTGGTTGGTCCGTTATTGGTTCTAAAATCTCAGACAACTCCGTTTTTTTTAATCTTTTTGCTAAAGCCAGTGGCGTTTCATTGTTGCCACGTACATTCATATTAAAACTACAACGATTTTGTAAATCTGTCAAAACTTTTTTGTCACCATTCATTACAATATAGTGAATTAAAAAATAAGGTGAATACGGTGGTTTTAGATTTGCCAGATCCGAATTTTTTGCTAGCATAGCTTGAACTTTACTCCAATTTGATGCTTTAGCAGCATTAATAAATTCATCTTGTTGAAATAACTTTTTAACATAATCGTACATTTCGGCACACTCTTGTTTTCTTTCTGTCGCAACATCTAGTAATGTTTTGTGATCCAAAGATTCTGTTCGAATATCAATGTTATCAGTGAATAATGATAATATCTGTTTAAGTAATTTTACATTACCATGATATACAATTTGATGGGCTATTGACCATCTTCTTCCATCCAATACTTGAAATAATTCATTTGGATATACAAACAAATAACGATAGACGCGCTCCCAATCACAACCAGATTTAGCCCATTGAGTGACAGTTGACAATGTTGCTGGTGAACTATCAGACATGCTGAATTTTGATCTAGAAAAAAATAGATATTTATTCAATAAAAACCAATTTTGATTTTTAACGAAGCATTCAAATTATATCTGATAATTAAGACTCGTTAAGAGTCTTCTATATATTTCATGCTAGTCAGAAGTAGAAAACACAGATGGCTAAGCGAGCATTTCGAAATAGATTTCGATCGGTCAATGATTAGTCCGCTATTGCACCCGTTAGGTCAATATTATACAGTGTAATTTTTATATAACCTTCTTGTTTTGTAGGTTTGTGCAATTAGAAACCAGCGATCGATTGAAATCGTTTTCAG